AGAGACTTTATCTATGTTTATTTTGGGCTTGCAGCCAGCGTGAGCCGAGACTGATAAAGGCTTTCTTTTGGCAAGCTTTGTGTAACTTTAGTTTTGGAACAGGCTAAGTGGGGGCCAGAACACATTGAGAACTGCCTATAGTTTGCATAACCATGTTTGATAAGTGGAGATCAGATTTCAGCATACATGCACAAAATGGCAGGTGGATAGAAAGTACATAATTTAAAATTTAGCTCATGTGCACATTTTCTCCTTTTTGCTCAATTGTGGTTGTTCTATTTGGGGTCTTGTTGAGAGGCTTCTTCACAGCATCTGGCCTTTTTCAGAACAGCTTGCTCTGCCAGTGATGGAGGAAATAACTTATTTTGCCCCATGGTTTACACTGGCTTCCCTCTGTCCCTTCCATCTCTCACACAGACTTAGTATGTGTACTGATTCTAGCTTTGAAATTAAGAAGACGGCCCCAAACCTTAAAAGTACTGCACCTAGCAGAGACCAGTCGAAAGCTCATGGCCGAAATCCTCCACCACCAGCTGAGTGAGTTGCTCTGAAGATGACAGAAGTGATCTCAAGGAAGCCACCAGGAACCTCCTGTGGCAGCAGCTGAATATGAAGGTAGGAGAAGCAGATAGATTGTAGATAGGGAGGAAGTGTCCATGAAACAATAAGATGATCCATGCATTTCAGAAATTGACACCACCCACCCATCCAATCCCCAAATCTCACCATCTCTTACCGTTTTGCTATCTATAGTTTATGGCTGGAATGGAATCCTTGAAAATAACCTCCGTAATTTGATCCATAGTTACAAAACCTATAAATGTAATAAATAAATATGTTATAAATAATAAATACAAACACGTTACAATGATTATTTGATATCACATTGTGATAGAGTAATAACTGGTAAAACCATGGGACAAAATCAAAAGGGAAAGCTTATCATATTGGTTAAAATGTGGGGAAACATTGCTAAGCTTTTCTCAAATGAATTAACACCTTCTTTACAGGATTCAGAAATTAGTGAGGATTTATATAACGGTTTCTAAGTGCAAAACCTGAAAAGAATCAGAGCTGGTACAAATAGAGTAATCCTTGACTTGCTATCACAATTTCTGTTGCTAAGCAAGACAATTGTTAGGCGAGTTTTGTTCCGTTTTATGAACTTTCTTGCAACAATTGTTAAATGAATCACATCAGTTGTGATATTGTGATAATATGGTTGTTAAATAAATCTGGATTCCCCATTGACTTTGCTTGTCAGAAGGTCACAAAAGGTCATCACAGGATCACCAGGTCACTGCTACTGTCATAAATATATGTCAGTTGCAAAGCATCTGAAATTTGACACCTGATCACAGGGCTGCTGCAACAGCCGTGTGAAAAATTGTCATAAGTCACTTTTCTAGTGCCGTTGTAATGGCCACTAAACAAATAGTTGTAAATTGAGTCTACCTCTTTGCCTTTAAGCTTTTAGACTGAACTCTTCCATATCACAATTATGCAGGCTACGCACTGCAAGGAAGCTATGTATGTCATCCAGGGACGTGCAGTCACTGGAGGCAGGGAAGGCGGGGCCTCACCAGTCTCATGAGG